GTATGGGGGCCTCTTACAAATTATAAAGAATAAAAAATTCGAACTCACAATACATATGAAAAATAGTGTATATATATCACATATGTCAAGAATTATATTGTTTATTGGTTGCAATCATAATTGTCCTCAACAAAGGAATAGACAAATACATTATAAGCAAGAAAAATTGCAAGAGATATCACAAATTAAACCAAAAAAAAAAAAACCTTAGGTCCCTTCATGCATTTATATCATACATGAAAAAATATTGACTAAGTATGAAAAATGGTTTTTCGGAACAATCATTTTCTCAAGATAATTTTTGGCGGCTTTTATTCCTTACACATCAAATAAGAAAACTTGATTTTATGGGATTTTGATATGGAGTGTATATTGACTTAATGAGCCATCATTTTTAGCCTAAATCGTATTTTACACTAAAACTGATTTTTCATATTTTGATTTTGTGGGAATTTGATTTTCTAGTATTTTTATTTGAATCCAAATAGGGGGTACTTTCTTATTTACATTGTAAACTTAAGTAAATGGAGTAATATAAAAATAAATTAAAGTAAGAGGACAAAGACATTTACTTAAATGTTGAAAATGGAAATAAGGTAATCTATACACCTGGAGTGCACCACCACTAGCTGAGTAAGGGGCAATTTAAAGTACATCCTTATGCCTTAACAGGTCCACCACAACACATATGGGTACATATCTAAACGTAAAGTATTTGAAATAATATACATATAGAAATACATAATAGTATATTACTTTTAAAATATAAAATAAAAGAAAAAAACTTGAGTGGGGGCTTGGGACCACACTGGTCCCAATTTGGCTCCGCCCCTGATTGTGTTATTGGCCAGAGACAGCAAAACAGTGCTATCCCGTTATAGGTAAGTTTTTTTTTTCAGCAAAGCAGGCCAATACAAAGATACTAAAACTATTTATTTATTAGCCTAAAAGTAGTGGAGTCAGTGTGGAACAAGGGTAAAGGGTGGAAAACCCCCCTGGACTATTCGGCTTGTCGAAATGTCCACCCTGAAAAAACAATTCAGCCAATTTAGCCTTCGTATTAAATTTAATCACCAATTTCACTCCTGCCGTTAGATTTTCCCCAATTCCATCCAAATGCCTGTCAAAAAAACCACGTGAGAGGCACATGAGTCGTCTGCTGAGGGTAATATCGTCCTTTCACACCTCAGCCCTCAGTCCCCTTTGACTGCTTCCTTCGTATGGTCAATTCCCAAATCAGAGTTAGGGTTCATGGAAAAAGAGTTTAGGGGAAGACAATGAAAATCTTCATCATTCTGTTCCAAATCTTACTGTCAACAATGCAGGAGAGGGCGCCGCTGGTTCAGCTTCAGATTCTAGAAGCTTTAGTTTCTCAGGTACTCTCAAACCTTTTGAAGAGAGTGATGAAGAAGAGACACGATCTGTTTACTCTGATTCCAATGTGTCTGTGGGAAAATACCGTGTGAAAGGAAGTTTCTCTTCAATTCTCCAGTCCATTTTTGACAAATACGGTGATATAGCAGCAAGTTGTCAATTGGAATCAATTGTCATCCGCTCTTACTATCTCGAGTGCGTATGTTATGTGGTTCAAGAGTTGAAGCGAACTTCAATCAAGCAGCTGACAAAGCCTAAAGTCAAAGAAATGTTATCTATATGCTTAAGGATGTAGAATCCTCAGGAATGGATGTTGGTTGGCTTCGTCTTATCATCAACGAATGTGCAGAAGCCACTGAACTTGTCAACGAATGAGCAATCCCAATACATTCCACCAAAACCTTCAACATCTCCAACCTGTGATGCTTCACACACAAGTGGAACCCACTCTCGCCTCCAACCTTTGATGCTTCACACCACCAAAACAAATTGCAACTTCAATAATTAAGGTTCTAACTTCCAAACAATTTCAAAACTTCAATAACGCAAACAATACTTTGTGTAGCCATCAACTTCCCATCAAAAGCAGTGGCACCTACAAATTCAGTGCAAGCCTCCCTAGCACTCGCAATAACCCGGCTCGAGTCTGGGGTGGTACCTTCAAAGACAAAGCGACACCTGGTTTTCAAGATTCCTCATTAGTGACAGGATTGCAGATCTGGGAAAAAAAACTTTGATGAGGGTTTGTGTCCAAAGCTTTGATGTAGATCTGGGTTACAGATTTGTTTTCGTTGTTGATTTCTTTGGCCTGGTTTTGGTTTTGGTTTTTTTTTTAAGTTTTCTAACTTTTGGCTGGTTACAGAGAAGGAATCAATCAAAGGGGGCTGAGGGCTGAGGTGTGAAGGGACGATATTACCCTCAGCAGATGACTCACGTGCTTCTCACATGGTTTTTTTTACGGGCATTTGGATGGAATTGGGGAAAACCTAACGGCAAGGGTGAAATTGGCGATTAAATTTAATACGAAGGCTAAATTGGCTGAATTTTTTTTTCAGGGTGGATATTTCGACAAGCCGAATAGTCCAGGGGGGTTTTCCACCATTTACCCTGTGGAACAATCATATGCATACATCTGCTTAAACACGTTACAATCAAATGTACAACCAAGCATGCATTACATGAAGCACAATACAGTAGAGAAAAAATAGAGCAGACTCTTTTTGCTTTAATTGTAGCCTTCAGGTAGAACTCCATATGTTGATATTTCCAGGCCTAGAAAGTAATACACGTCTCAAGGGAGGACTTGGCAAGCCAAAATAAGCCCGGATCATCCCGCTTCAACACTAGATAAGTTTCTGGTCTTCCAATTTCATCCACAATATTTTCATTGAAGCCAATCAGGAAAAGGATAGCCATGGCAGCTAAAATCACAAAAAAAGGAGGGGGGAGGAGGGGAGAAGGTTAAAAGTTGTTCATTTTTCATCATGAAGCTACAGCTTTAATTTCAAGCAGAAAAATTATCAGATATATTCCTATAATTATTATCTGCTACATGTACCACATTGCAGACCCCAATGTATCACTTTGTTTTGCTTAATACAAACTAAAACTCTACATGTAGCATTCCAGTCATAAAAGTAGGTCTGGGAGAAAGAAGCGATCGATGAGGTTAAATTTTTCATCGGCCTCAATTGAACTGTGAGGTTCAAACATAATCCAACAATAATCCATGAGAAAGATTATGCTTTACTCTAAGTAATAATAATTTTACATGACTAGAACAAGAGTCTGTCTAGCTAGAAACCAGCATGCCAAGTTAATATACAATAAGTTGAAGTGAAATTGTCTTTATTCTTCTTCTGCAGCAGCTTGCTGGTTTTTGACAGATGAGTCATGCCTGGAAAATATGGAAATGGGTGACAATCAATCCATTGTAATTAATTGTTTTTGAAAACAAGGACGCAGAATATGTATATAGCAACTCACTGAATTTTACGTGACAGTTGAAACAGGGCAGTTAGAGACATCCCAAGATTGACACTGACAAGATTCCAGTTCTTCTGCAATCTCAAAATGGACAAGCTATAATAACTGAAGAATCTATCTCAAACTTATACAACAAATTTCTTGGACAAAAAGAAACTTCTTCAACTGCAAATTGTTGGCTCTAATTGATAATTTGAGGTTTAGAATCAATTACTGGTTTAATTAATGTGCTGTATCTTGCCCATATAAGTCCACTGCATGCAAGGACTGGAGATCATCAAATGGGGATGACAAAAGTTTCTATCAGTAACGAGTTAACAACCAGAAAGTAATAGTGCTACTGAACTAGTTAGGACCCGTTTGGGAGTGCTGTTAGTTATTTGAATGCGCATTTAGCCATTCTAAAAACACTCGCAAACGGACCCTAATGTAAACTCGTCTGTAGAAATGACAAGACATAGGCCTCAAAGAAATAAGCGATTCAGCAGTTCAACCAACCTGATTGCTGAGCATAGGATAAGTCCTCGGGTGGTTTTGAGGAGTCAAGAATATTTGCAATGGTTAGACCCCATTTGAAAGTTGGGGCCCAAAAATGAACTGCAAAATTAAAACACATAATAAACCTTTAACATATGAGTGGCTCTGATGTTCTTTTACAATTTCTTATCACAATAAGTGTTCATATATCCTATGATACATTAGGAAAGTTCTGGTTTTACCCACAAAAATCTGAGGCCTAAGCTTGTACCTAAATCAAATCTGAGGCCTGGGTTTAAAAACTGATGAGGGTTTTCTTTCTCTGATAAACTAGTTTCTGACTTAGAAACCAACAATCTCAATCATGTTCTTGAATCTCAATAATTTTGATGCATCATGCATGGTAATTAAGCACCATCTAGCTGATTAGCATGGTATTTACTAAAAAATGAACTAAACTCGGATATGATTTAAGCTTTCAAACTTTGATATCAGCAATTCATCATTGAGAAATGAAGAACAACAATATGGCTAAATGATCAACACGAACATTTCAAAACATGTAGAGTAAGGGAAACAGAATTAATTAAGTAGAGAAGTGAACAAACTAGTTTTTGGGCCTGCTGGGTGGTTCCAAATTGCTTGCAGCTTAGAATTTGCCATGATATCGAATTCTTCCCCCTTCTCAGCTCCTAGGTTGGATAAAGTAGCAAAACTGAGGAAGAAGAAGACAAAAAAAGATTATATTTGTTGATATTTATATATCATTCCTCCCAATACTTATGAGTTTTTGGCATCCAAAGAAAGCGAAATAAAGGAATCCGACAAAAAAAAAATTATTTAAACTAAGGAAAAGAAAACATAAGATAAGTTCCTGGCTCTCTATTATTGGAAAATTCTTTTCAACATTTGTAGATCGCTTGGTTTTTGGAGTTTGGCTACAAAAGAAAAGCCAGCTTATAATTAACTAGCACAAAAAGCTGCAAAAACAGACAGGAAGCAACTACACCATACACAGAATATCAAGCCACAGCTAGCATTTCTCCTACTTGGCCAATAGCTAAATAAAGGTCGTTAAAGCCATCAAACCCCATGATACTCGGTAGTGTGTGAGAAAATCACTTGTATTCAGAAGAGAAAAAAAGGTAATTAAAAAGCCTCCTTTTTTTATTTTTCCTCTTTCTATCTACAAAGGAGAGGGGACATATTCAAACTCTGGCTTTTGAGTGTGGGCTAAACGCTCTCTATCACTAGAGTTACAAACCGTCACGTATTAAGGCTTAGTTTGGTATTGTTGTGCTTTTAAAAAAAACTGCTTCTGCTGTGCTGTGAAAATAAACAGCTGTGAAGTGAAGCAGCAAAGTGTTTGGTAATCT